GCAACGCACACCTGGGGGTGACTGCGCAGGACTCTGTACGCCGGTGTCAAATCGATGCATCGTCCACGTATTCTGCCATCTTCACCTGTCATGTCTGCCGAGGGCACGGTACGGGGACTAAATTGAGAGTGCACCACTCATCCGCCCCCGTTTGGAATTGTAAATGGCGTAAGACTAAGGAAATCCTACTATGCGAGTACGAGGAATGGCCCATCCATTAAAAAAAACTCCCGCCAATCCGAATCACCCCATCCATAGTGCTTGAGAGAGGGGGAGAGAAATCCAAAAAACTCCATTCACGATTAATCGGTTTGGGGTACGTAAACCATATAACACCGGAAGTTTACAAGCTATGCATAATGGACGAAGACCGCAGCTGTAGACATAATGAATCAGTCGCGAAATTTACTTGCGATTAGTGTTTCTTCAAAACAGTGCCAACGTAGGGTGCAGTTGACCTCACTATTGTAGTTCGAATAAACAAACAGATAAAAATCCGTATATAGTGAGCCAAGCTATTTACGTGTAAATGGAGAACAGTAAACGTGGCGGCCCTATTTACCAAAGCCTGGTTTGCGATCTACTCTCTGCATTCATTCCACCCATTGTTTCTCAAACGGCCGACCCTACGGCCAGTCAGTAGATAAACCCGTGAACCGTGCTGACGAAATTCGTTCGATTGGGGATTACATATCACCTTTTGCCAAAGCATTGCCTTAGTCATTCTCCTAATTAAAGAGCCTGCTTTTGCCGAGCGACGAGTCGGCAGGTCTGCTCTGCTGGTACCAGCAACGGCTGGGTTGAACTAGTAATTATTCCGGTACGCTTGGGGCCACGGACTGTGCACATATTCGATAATTCAATCGTCATTTCAGACGAGGTCCACCACAGTTAGGTGGGCGCTTGAACGCTGATTCGCGCATGAATTGTTATAGTGATCGTAGACTTGTGCTGGGTCTACATCTTCATGCCCCACCCAACGTTCGAATCCGCGACGCTTTGATTATAAGTCTGACGGGCTACGGGCTTGTTTTTTGCCAGTTCAGATCGGGAGATATTGGCGTTTGCTGAGGGGGGGGGCTCATCGATCGCTAACGGAACTCACTCGTCCCGATCTGCCGCTAGGGATCGATGGTGGTTTATCAACGAGTGCTCATATCTTCCGATCTATACCGCCAAGACAGCTACTTACTTATACTTGATCCGATAAGCTCCTCTTGTTGGATGAATCGGCTTCACGGATGTGAAGGATAGCGGCGGCCCGTTGGAGGCGATCGGAAGCGAGCTCCTCGCAGATGTTAACCCATTGTTTGTTCGAGTATCGCAAGCT